ATAACAGAGAAAACAAATAAGTAAACAAATACATAAATAAACAAACAAACAAATAAACAAACACGTACACAGACCTTAAGAACGGCAACACCCATTAAAAAAAAGATAAAAAAAAATAAAATAAAATAAAAAACATAAGCCCCACCCACCTTCTACGATCCCTCATCGGCGCCGTCGCCTCCCTCCACGAAAATCAAACGAAAGTCAAACCGCGCATCAAACTTCTGCCATTCATTCAATCGAACAGCGGTTACGTCACACACCCGATCCGTAACCTCCGACACGCTGGCGGGGCGTGAGAACGGACCGACGGACAGACAGATGGACGGTCGGACGGACAAACGGATGAACAAACGAGCGAACGGGTGGATGAACGAATAGACGAACGAACAAATAAACGGACCGACGAACAAACAGACAAACGAATGAACAAACGAGCGAACGGGTGGAGGACGAACAAATAAACAGACCGACGAATAAACAGACAAACGGATGAACAAACGAGCGAACGGGTGGACAGACGAGGGCCGAGTCAGATCGCCACGTAAAACTTTATTGCCCAGCTGATACGCGTCTCGCGGGCGGCCACGTGAGCTCCTATCGACATTTTTTTCTACCTAGTGTTCTTGTTGAGAGTGAAAGTGTGAGTGCCAACAAGAGATTGAGAATGAAAGAGTGTATGAGCGTGAGTGTGAGTGTGAGTGTGAGTGTAAGTGCGCCCCTGAGTGTAAATGTGCGTGTTGGTATCCTCCTTTTAGTAAGGCATCAACGCATAGTAAGGCATCATCACACACCTTCCCAATCGCCGTGTTGTGGAGTCGCGTGTTGACACTGTGTTCCCAAAGCTCAAAACAAACACTAACCTATCCGTCCCAAAAAAAACGTATAACCAACAGACTGACAGACAAACAGACAGACAATACAATCAGCGATAGAATTTTTTTTAAAAGGCATTATCAATTCAAGGAAAAGCACCCGAGGCTCTAACAATGGCTCTGACTCCCCGAGACTTCCTTATCCGAATTTCGATTTCCATTATCAGATCTCCTCCGCCAGGCAATGTCGACCCGAAGAGAAGTCATTCCCGAGATGAATAAATAAATTAAATCTTCTTTAAAAAAAAAAAAAAAAAAAGGAAAAACGAAATGTAATGCAATATCGACCAAAGGCAGTCATTCGCGCGATTAATAAATGAATAAAATTATCAAATAAAAAATTAAAACCATGCACAACTGAGACTGGCTGGCGTGACGCGTGCAATCAACAGGTGCAACGGGCAACAAGTCTTTGAGTGAGCTCGATTCCCAGGATCCGGGAATGAAGATTAAGAGGAACAAAGAGGAAGAGGAGAAGGGGGGAATAAGAGAAAAGTAGAAGAAAAGACAAAGAGAAAAGGAGAAGAAAACGGGAGAGATTATCAGTGAATCGCAAAAAAAAAAGATACTTTTTTCATCGAAAGTAATAATAATTATCACAACACCACGTAAATAGAAAAAAAAGAGAACGGAGAGGAGAAAGAAGAAAAAATAACAAGAGACAACAACTAAATGATAATTCTCCTAACCCGGGCGCGAGTCTGGGCAGGCGAACGGCGCGGGCGGGAAATGGCGCTTTAAAGGGAAAATCTGGTGAGTATTCTTTCCGTGGAAAACCGCCGCCAAAGTGCCAACCCCGCCAACGTCCCACTTTACTCCCCTCCCCCCCACCCCCGTTTCCCCTCCCTCAACCCCGTTCTCTCCCCTCATCCTCTTCCTTCTCTTTCTTCTTTCTCCCCTTCTTCCGTCTTTTCTCCTCTCTCACTCTCTCTCTCTCTTCCTTTCTTAATTTTCCAACCCCCGTCTCCTTTTCTCCCCCCCTCCTTTCTCCTCTTCTCCCCATCTCCTCCCTCTCCCTCCTCCCCTCCTCCCCTCTCTCCCCTTTTCCCCCCCCCCCCCCCCCTTATCTGCTTAACAAACGCCGGAAGGGAGAAACCAGGTGCACGAGTACCTGTCACTGCCAATTTCAGGTGAGGGAAGAGATACGACAGATGAGAAGAAGGAGGAGAGGAGGAGGAGAAGGAGGAGGAGGAGAAGGAGGAGGAGGAGAGGAGGAGGAGGAGAGGAGGAGGAGGAGAGGAGGAGGAGGAGAGGAGGAGGAGGAGAGGAGAGGAGGAGAAGGAGAGGAGGAGGAGGAGAGGAGGAGGAGGAGAGGAGGAGGAGGAGAGGAGGTGAAGGAGAGGAGGAGAAGGAGAGGAGGAGAAGGAGAGGAGGAGAAGGAGAGGAGGAGGAGGAGAGGAGGAGGAGGAGGAGAGGAGGAGGAGGAGGAGGAGGAGGAGGAGGAGGAGGAGGAGGAGGGGGAGGAGGAGGAAGAGGGGGAGGAGGAAGAGGGGGAGGAGGAAGAGGGGGGGGAGGAGGAGGAGGAGGAGGAGGAGGAGGAGGAGGAGGAGGAGGAGGAGGAGGAGGGGGAGGAGGAGAAGGAGAAGGAGAAGGAGGTGGAGGTGGAGGTGGAGGAGGAGGAGGAGGAGGAGGAAGAGGGGGAGGAGGAAGAGGAGGAAGAGGGGGAGGAGGAAGAGGGGGAGGAGGAAGAGGGGGAGGAGGAAGAGGGGGAGGAGGAGGAGGAGGAGGAGGAGGAGGAGGAGGAGGAGGAGGAGGAAGAGGAGGAGGAGGAGGAGGAGGAGGAGGAGGAGGAGGAGGAGGAGAAGGAGGAGGAGGAGGAGGAGGAGGAGGAGGAGGAGAAGGAGAAGGAGAAGGAGAAGGAGAAGAAGGAGAAGAAGGAGAAGAAGAAGAAGAAGAAGAAGAAGAAGAAGAAGAAGAAGAAAATAAAAAGTGAGAAGAATCCAGGATTAAGGAAGAGAAACGCAACGAGAAAAAAAACAACAACAACAACAGCGGAACGGGAGAACATGAAGCAAGAAAAGAAGAAGAAAAGAGAACACGAAAAGACTAGGAAAGAAAACGAGAACTGAAGAGAGAAACTAAAAAGGCGGAAAAAAGGTCACAGCGGCGGCAGCAGGTGCTTGACGGGCGCCTCCATGACTCGGGAGAAAAAAGCGCGGGAGACGCAGTTGCAGGACGCACCAAAACGAGACTACCCAATAAAAAAAATAAATAAAATAGAAGATAAAACAGAAACGGAGGGGGGGGGATGTAAATGTAAAGTAAGTATAAATAAACAAAACGCTCTTTTCTCTTTTAATTTTAGCTTTCACTTATGTAGCTGAACATCTTGACAATCGCATAAGATCTTGGATTTACGCATTTCAAGTTCACCTTCAATCGGCTAGCCAAACTTCCCGGTCTTACAAATCTAAAAACGGAAATACAAGAGAAATTCATTAAATGAACAAGAAACGAAAGAGAGGAAGAATAGAACGCAATAGCAACCGACCATAAATAAGCGAATGAAAAATAAACAAATAATTGAAGGAGGGAATAAAAATAACCACTATCGGGTGCCCCCCCCCCCGCTTCCTCAGACTTCCACTCAATGACCTGAATGTAAACAAAGAACGCTTGAGAAAGAGTAAAAGGAAGAGAGAGAGAAAAAAGAGGAAATTCGTTCCCAGATCCGATGCCATATGGTGGTCATCATGAATCTGCGCATTCGAACAACCCTTTCCCTCTTCTTCTTCTTCTTCTTCTTCTTCTTCTTCTTCTTCTTCTTCTTCTTCTTCTTCTTCTTCTTCTTCCCCTCCTCCTCCTCTTCTCTTTTTCCGCCTTCGCTTCCTCCTCTCTTTTGCTACTACTTGCCATCGTCCTCATTCTCCTCTCTTTCTCTCCTCCTCCTTCCCGTCCTTTTCCTTCACCTTCTCCTGCTCCTCCTTCTCTCCCTTATTCTTCCTCCACCTCCACCTCCATACAAACATCCTCCAACATCCTACTTCTCCCTCCCTCTCCTTCTCCTTTCTCCTTTCTCCCTCCTCCCTCCTCCCTCCCCCCTCCTCCCTTCTCCTTCTCCTTCTCCTTCTCTTTCTCCCTCTCCCCCTCCCTCCCCCCCCCTCCCCCATGCAACCCCCCGTGCCCCTCCCCGACAAACAAACGAGCCGACGCCGCGCCACCGAGGCTTCGCGACGGCTTTGTCTCTCGCGGGGAAGCCTCCGAGACCGCGATTCACACCCGAGGTTTCCGACGGCTGCTTTTGCGTGCGCCGCCGAGTGATGATTGTTCCGGTAATCATCGTCCGCTTTTCGATTCCCATTCCCATTCGGTATTATCGTGTTTTTTTATATTTATTTATTATTCTCCTTCCCATCCGGAAATATGCGGTTCACGATTCGCATTCCCAGCCGGATTTATCAGGCGGTTTTCGATTCCCATTCCTAGCTGGAATTACCATGCGCTTCTCCGATTCCCACTCTCAGTCGAACGACGAAAGGACGCGGCGTTCGGCAATGCATGACCTATTTTGGCTGCGAGGGGCGCGAATACCACCGACCTGCGCTGTTGTACATCCGTCACCTTAGAGATGGCGTGCAAAAGCGGCAGGCGCGCGGGCGTGAGTGTACCCGGGATTATCTAACGCCCCCGTCCCCCGCCCCCCTTTCCTCTCACCTCCCTCGTCCTCTCCCCCCTTTCTCCTTCCCCCTTTCTCGTTTCCGATGCTTTATACATTTTTTTTTAATGGGGGGGGGGGGGGTTACAGAAGCTTCAGGGACGCAGAGACGGGGTTGGGGATACTCCCCCCCGTCCCCTCGCCAGCGCGGCATTCGCACCTGCGACGCCTTCCATCGCGAGCCAGACGCGTCGACCGAGGGAGCGATGCATCCCCCGCACGCGAATCTCCGAGTCTCGGCCGGCAGCCCACGCTCCCAGAACCTGCTCTCCTGCCTCCCGCCCACGCCCACTTCACCAGCCATTCAGGTGGCTCTTGAGCACGCACACCTGCTCGCGTCTGCGCCCTCGCTGCGCACATGGAGGCCAAAACACACGCGGGACATAGTCGACGAAGACTGAGCCCTGCTTGGCCCCCCATGACAGGCACCGCCCACCCCCTCCCCCAGTGCTGGTCTTTGCTGGCCTCACCTGCTCCACGGGGCGTTTCCTCGCGCTCTTGGTGTGCTCCCGACGTCGGCGGCGCCCGCCAGAACCGCTGCTCCTGGAGGTGGCGGTCCCGCTGCTGGACTCGCTGCCGTCGGTGCCGCCGAAGGGCTCCTCGGCATCCCCACGGCGGCTGGCGAACCGGGACTCCTTCACGTGGTCGACGGTGTCGGCGAAGCGCACCTCCTTCACCTCGGGGCGGGCGTGGCGGCCCTCGGGGTGCCGCCGCACCGAGCCGTTCGACACTCCGCCCACGCTGCTCCTCCTGCTGCCGCTGCTGTTGCTGCTGTGCTCGCCGTGGAGGTGATTGTGGTGGCCGTGGTGGCCATGGTGGCTGTGGTGGCCGTGGTGGCCGTGGTGGCTGTGGTGGCCGTGGTGGCTGAGGTGGTCCTCGGACACGGACGCCCTCCGGGAGCCCGAGCCATGCTTGTGCTTACGCTTGTCCCGCGGGAGCGAGATGCGGAGCTCGTGCTTCTGGCCGTACTTGAAGAAGTTGGTGGTGTCCATCTTGAAGACCAGCATGGTGGCGGCTGCGCTGGGTGACCGCGGAGGACCAGAAGGATACTAGAAGCGCGTCGCCCTGGAGGCCGTGCCTGACCCTTGCGTGACACAGCGATAGTGCGCACTGGCGGCTATCTCGTCCTCATGACCGAGAATCGAGCGAAACAGCACCGTCAGGCTCCTCGACCTGCACTAAGGACACTAGAAACGTTTCCGCGCACAAAAGGCAACTCACTAAAAACTGCACGCGGAATCGGAGAGTAAACTTGAGCGCACCCACTCTCGTTCTCAGCAAGGTGTTCAGACGAATGCGCCGATATCGCTGCTCCACCTGCCGATGGTAGCGCCAGCTGTCATCTGATTGCCGCGTCTTGGCCAAGTTTAAGGCCGGCCGACGATACCCTAGAGCACCGCGCGCAGTTATCGTACTGGATGCCCACTTCCCTTATCAGCTCGCATCGCTCTTCTGTGACGTAATCTTTCGCAGCTGCCCTTCATATCAGACACGCATTAACAACATACCGCGAAACATAATTTCACGTAAACTCGATTACTAACTATCGGAGTTACCCTCCTTGCGAAGTTCCCAGACCCGCCTGGCAGCCGCGGACGCGGAAGGTAAATAAGAGCCTGGATGCCCCAGTGACGTCATAAGCGAGCAGGTCTAACATCGGATGAATCACAGGAAATATCACCGCGATCGGGCGCCCGCCACTGACTAACACGCTTGCGACTTGCAGTCAGTCCCAGTGAGGCATCACGGGCCCATTCGGGGTACCCACCACGACGGCGCAACACCGGCTCTAACTTGCCCCTGCCGGCGGCAATGAAGTGAACAATTGTGACGCAAGTGCTGTCAGTCGCAACCGCTCGCTGTGCCTCTCTCCGCGGCGGTCGGGGAGGGCGTCTCCTCCGTGCAGCCTCCGCCGTGCTTGCAGGCACTGGCCTTACGTCACTCATCAACGTCACCAGGGCAAGTGATGGCGCATTTCCTGGGCGGATCTCGGTCATCTCCCCGAAAAAGGCTGCGAACGCCAGGGAAATCCATTAGTCACCTGCTAAGGGAAACTTTCGTTTTCGACAGGGCCCCGTGTGAGTTTAGGAAAATGCAGAGGAAAATGAGAGAGAAACAAATAGGGAGTCACATACCAATGCATAAATATATGCACACACATGTATGTACTGTGCGTGTGTCCGTGTGCATGACTGCGTATGTACATCTGCATGTCTGAACCAGCATCAGCATCCAAACGCGCACCGTCGCAACGCTCCCGGCCACGGCGTTCCGGGTCTAAACATACGCGCTCAAACAATCCCCTCTTGAGAATCCCACAGGATGCAGAGGATCTCTCCCGCCCTCCCCCTTCCTCTTTTCGCACCTTCCCGCCCCCCCTCCCCACCCCTCCCCTCGGTCCTGACCCCCTCAGGTCACCCCTCCCTCGCACTACTCGCGACGCGTCAATTGGAAACCTTATACGGACGCCCCACATGCTCGGTGACGTCACGGGCGGCCCACCAACAAGGCCCGGTTTGTGATCTCCTCCCGGCGCTCGACACAAGCATCCTGCCCCCACCCTCTTCCGACCCTTCCCTCCCTCCCTCCCTCCCTCCCTCCCTCCCTCCCTCCCTCCTTCCTTCCTTTCCTCCCTCACCTCTGGCCCCTCCTTTCGGATTTCCTTCCCCCACTCCCATCTTTTTTTCCTTCCTTCCTTTTTTCCGTCTTTTCTTCGTATACTTCTTTCTTTCCCATCCTCCTCCAACCACTGGCCAGCGGTGGGGGTGAGAGGCGGGGGGGGGAGGAAGGAAGGAAGGAAGGAAGGAAGGAAGGAAGGAAGGAAGGAAGGAAGGAAGGAAGGAAGGAGAGGATAAGGATAAGTCCGATATGCGAAGCTGTGGACCTCGCCCGGGCTATGGGGGAGCCCGGCCTGTGCCGACGTATGTCGACTCGCTATCAGTGTGTCAGCAGGTGCTGACTCGGGTGAGCTTAGTCCTTACCCACCGTGGTGCCCGGCCACAGCAGTAACCTCCAGGCGACAATTGCAACTTCTCGCGCCTGGGCGGGGCGCGAACCGCCGACCCCTCGGATGAGAGGCCGACACGTTACCACTGTACTAGCCCGGAGGCTAAGGAGAGGAGGAGGAGGAAAAAGAAGAAGAAAAAGAAGTAGAAGACGACGAAAACGAAGACGCAGACGCAGAAGGAGAAGAAAAAAAAGAAATAGAAAAAGGAAAAGGCAAATGAAGAGGAATTAGAAGAAAATGTAGAAGAGAAACACGGAGAGTTAGGAAACCACAAGTAAAATATGCAAACGTAGATGCAAAACATACACACACACACAAAGGGGATGGGGGGGGGGCGCTTTCATTCACGCGCAGCTAACATAAGCAACTGGGACCCCACGGCAGACTCGCTAAAGCACATGCAAGCAATATCGACATGGCTTGCATGCATTATTCGCAAATCATTTTTTTTTTTTTTTGTGGGGTGAGATGCCAATTCGCCTAAAATTATACCTAATAGCGTCAGTCTCCATTCCTCCCGGTTTTTTTTTCTTTTCTTTTTCTTTTTTTTTATATCTTACTTCATTGCCCAGCCATTTACATATATTCGCTTCCAAAGAAACTATCAAAATATCCGCTTTCCAATACCTAATTCAGACCGAACATTAATTAAGCAAGGTTTTACGATTTACACATATCCTCCCGCGGGAAAATTATAAGATTAATTATAATACCGTGTTCATTGCACTGAATCAGCCTCAGTCTGAACAACGCGTGAACAACTTGGAGAATATGATTCATTTGATAACAACAACAACAACAACAACAATAATAATGATAATTAAAGTAATAATAATGATAATAATAATAATAATAACAACAACAATAATAATAATAATTATTATTATTATTAATAATGATAATGATGATGATGATAATAACAATATCAATTAAGAAAAAGCAATGCTGATGGCGGTGATCGTGATGATCATTATGATGATATGTTAGCGACAGGAATAATGATCATCATAATAATAAGAACAATAATTACACTCAAAAATACAAAAACAAAATAACAACACTAACAAAACACAAGAATTAATATATGTAGCAACGTACCAGGACGTACCAGGACACCTCAAGGATACCCCTCTCCCCCCCTCCCCCTCCCCCCCTTCTCCCTTAACCCCCTCCTTCCCCCGCTCCCACCGCCCCCCTCCCCCCTTTGCGTTGCGATATCTTTCCTTCTGCATTCCATCCCGCCGCGCGCTCGCCGAAGGATGATGGTCCCGCATACCGAAAGGACTAATAATAGGAAAAAAAACGGAAACAAACGAAAACAATTTTTTTTTCTCGCAAACGTTAAAAAAAGAGAGAGAGAAAACTCAATGACCAAGAAACAAAAATCACTCCCCCCAAAAAATATATATATATTTCGCGATAATAATTCCTAAAACAAAAACAATACAAAGATCCTAAAAATATATTTCTTTTAAAAATACAAAACAACAACAAAAGACAAAATCAAGGCGCAAGAACAGAACAGAACAGAACAGAAATCAGCATTCTAGAACTCGCGCCCCGGACTCTGGACTCTGGACTCTGGGCTCTGGGCTCTGGGCTCTGGACTCTGGGCTCTGGGCTCTGGACTCTGGACTCTGGACTCTGGACTCTGGACTCGGAGCGTACGAGTCGATTCCGAGAAGGCGTGGGGCGAGGCGCCGCGACAGTGCATTCGATAATCACGTGGTTCGCTGTGACTAAGTGAGTCAGGGAGCGAGCGAATGAGTGTGTGAATGAGGAACTGACTGACTGACTGATCGAATGAGTGTGTGAGTGAGAAACTGACTGAGTGAATGAGTAAGTGAGTGAATGAGTGTGTAAGTGAGAAAGGGACTGAGTGAATGAGTAAGTGAGTGAATGAGTGTGTAAGTGAGAAAGGGACTGAGTGAGTGAGTGAGTGAGTGAGTGAGTGAGTGTGTGTGAGTGTGTCAGTGAGAAAGTGACTAAGTGAGTGAGTGAGTGAGTGAATGAGCGAGTGAGTGAGCGAATGAATGAGTGAGTGAGTGAATGAGTGAGCGAGTGCCTTTGCGTGGGTATATGGTTAATTCGCAATGGAGAGAGGGAAGGAAAGAGAAGGAAAGAGCGCTAGAAAGAAAAAAAAAGTATAGAGAGAAAAGGAGCGAAAAGAGACTAAGAGGAGAGAGAAAAACGAAACCCGAGAGAAAGGAGGCGACGAGAAGGGCGAGAGAGAAGGACGAAGCAGGTGTCCCTCCGCCATTGCAACGGAAGCCTAGCAACACGGAGGAGGCGACATCGGCGTAAGCGCGGGGGATTATTGCATTACACAATCTTCTGATAAACGCCCTAACTTCCACGAAGGTAATTACAAACTGCCTCTGCGTGATAACAACGTTACAACGTGTTAATAAATGCCATTATAAATCCATCGCCGACAGCAAGATCGCATTTAAATTTCTTTTGTACCTTAACAAAAATAAATTAATTACTTAAATAAATAAATATATAAATGTCTACAAAGTGACTGCCTTTCGTAGCAACTAACAACTTCTTTACAGTCTGCGTCTACTCTTGAATAAAAGCATGAGACCTTTAACGCCACGATGACTTACTTCCAACAACAACAACAAAAAAAAAAGGTTTAAATAAGGAGGAAGGACGAAATCGAGTTCCGAGTGGTGATGACGTCATTTCTCCGTCTTCGGAATCGCAGGCGTTGACGAGGCGGCATCTATGTGACGTCACGTGAATTAAGGTTAATATCGTCAACAGCGGATAACATTATTTCTATTCGCACTGGATTTTATTACCAGCTTTGCATCATTAGGTTTGTCATTGCGTTACTACTCTAGTCATCTGTCTGATGATAATGATAGTGTTATCAGCGGTAATAATGTCAATAATGTCAACCATGAAAAGATAATAACGTGACTCACAGCAGCCTCTACTTCCTCTGCTTATTTCCCATTCTTTGTCTTTTTTTATTTTTTCCTATTTCCCTTCGCTCCTCTAAAACGTTCCTTCTTCCTCTCCTCTCTCTCCCTCTCCCTCTTCTCGTCGTTTTCCCTCTTTCTCTAATCTCCTCCCTCCCTCTCCCTTTCTCCTCTTTACCTTCATCTCCCTCCCTTTCTCCTCTTTACCCTCATCTCCCTCCCTTTCTCCTACTCCCCCTCTTTATCCCCTCTCCTCTTGCTCCCTCACCCCACCGTCACCCACACACCCTTTACGCAAACACACACGCCCATTCACCGAGCCTTACGCCCCCACCCGCCCATACAATACACGCCAGCTCTCTCTCTCTCTCTCT